AGAACCTCTAATGCCCTTGAAAATAGTGAAAGGATCTGCACCAGTGTTGAAAACTACATTTGGCCTCTATTCAATAAAAGGTCCTTATTCTTAAATAAATATGTGAGGTCCCACCATAAAGTGTGTCTAAACAGCATGGATATAAATGCCATCCTTGTCTTTACAGATGTGCTTAACAACTTCCCTGGGCTTGGGTTTCCCTTTGAGCTGGTCTGACTCCTAACAGCCTGTAGTTTGAGTTGGGAGAGCCTGGTCATTCTGACTGATGAAATGCAGTGAAGATGTAAGGATACAATAAAGTGGTGATCATCTTCCTTGCCTGCATACGAAAGTGAAGGCATCGTGCCAAGCAAATATGCGCATTAGATGACTAACAGCTCCCACACTGTCAGTGTAGGCAGGGAATATGCAATGCAGCCACATATGTGTCTCAGAACCATACTGAGTGCTTTTTATTCTTAATGTTTGGTTTTGTTTTTAAATAGGAACTCAGATCTTTGAGCAGGATGTTTATCTCTATGCAGAGAAAACAATATTGGTCATAGTTTTTAATATACGATCAAGTTTTTAAAACTACCAGCTGATATATCTATTGTGAGTGACATCAGAATTTCAAGTAATTGCTATAAATGTTCACTAGGGTAGCTGTGCATATCATGTGTAATTATCTGAGTTTACCTTTTTTAATGGCTGGAAAACACTTTTTTTTAGAAAAGTGAGAATTTTTTTCCAGTGGAAATGCTGTTGGAAAGTTTTGTATTCAGCTACCCTGATTGAGGTTTGATCTCACTTTCTTTGATAAAATTGATGTGAGCTATTCACAAAAATTAATATGCTGTAACAAAGGAGTTGAATTTCATTTGATACTTTCTTATGCTATTGAGCCGAACACCAGGGGATGTCCTATAAATCCCTGTAAGCAGAGTGCAGTTCACCTTAGGATTTAATCTAGCAGTGAGTTTCCACTGAAGAGGATCCCCTTTTCGTTCCTCCAATGATGTCTAATCCACCTCCCAAATTAATTAGTTTTCTGTCAGTTCTTAAGCTGAAGCAGCTGCATAGATAGGGAAGACAGAGGGAACAGAGGAAAGTGAACAGGATGATGAAACAAACCCCTCTCTTTCTGCTGAAATGTAAGGTTACATCATCTTAAGTGCAATACGAAGTGAACCTTCAAGTGTTGGTGGTTTGGACAGTGAACTCATTTAAATTCCACAAGAAATTTTAAGGACCCACTGAGCAAAGAACTTTCTATATGCAAAATGGTATGCAGTCTCTGGATCTGAATCTTAAGCAAATGGAGAAACAGGAAACCAAAGACAGACTCTCAAACTGCTACATTACAGTTCTGTGGCCTTAAAACCAGATGATCAAGTCTTCAATGAACAGACCTCTGTTGTTCCCAGAACTAAAAATTCTCCAAGTTTATCATTCTTTTCAGTGACATCTCACAAACATATAATATTGCAGAAAGCAGATTCCCAGAATACAGGTAGGGAAAGACCAAAGTCTTCAGATGTTTTCCAGGACACTCTCTCATTGACAGTGGCAGAATCTGTCAGTGTCCATTTAGCACTGAGTGAGTCTGACAAGCTAATTTCAAGAAGTAACAAAGCTATATTTCCCTTGCAGAGCTATTTAGTACCCTGTGTAATGTGGATTGGTCTCTATTTACTCTAAGCACCTGTTTCTTCTTTCTTGATCTCTCTGTAAGTTGGCATGTAGATCCCTCATCCTAGTTAAATTATTTTTGCCAGTAAAAATCGCTATTTTGTGAACTAGCAGAAGGGGTTGTGTGGAATGACTGGGGTGTGACAGTCCACAGATAGTCTGCATTATATAAACTGTGCTTTCCACTCAGGTGGTTAATTAAACTTGGTCTTCAGATCCCAAGACAGAAACCACTAATGTGCGCATTTTATTTTAATAACATGTTTCTGTTCCTCTGCCCCGGGAGACTTGGCCCAGTCTTCTTCTGGTTTGTCTGTTCTCGAGAGAGAGAAAAGGGAATGTGAGGACTAGAGGAGAGTGTGTGGCTCTGTGTAGTCTCTTTTCGGGCAAATAATCTTGTCTGATTGGGGGTTGTAGATGGAGTGAGAGAACATCTTATGGTATCACTACAGATTGCCTCAATGATATGTTCTTTGGGATAGATTCTGTGTCCTTCCCAGGCACAGGGAGAAAGTGAATAGTAGCAATAAACACTTTTATGACTTTATGTTCCACCCTCTGGGTTTGTATTACTCATCTGTAATGATGCTCCTGTACATTAACCTGCTATGCTACTCTGTCAGTGCCAGAGTATATATCCATGTAATTGTGTGTACAATTTTTTGCTTGGATTTGGGCAGACCATGTCATTGTTTTCAGCAAAAATTAACTCAGTAGCTTAAAAACATGGGATTTTCCTCATTCAAAGCACAAGATAAAGTTGCTCTTGCATCCATGAAGTAGTCTGAATGTGCTCTGGAGTACTTTCTACTAGAAGTTTTGCAATTGCTTTACAGTCCTCTGTGGCACATCCTCTAGAGTTTTCACACAGCGCAAAATTAGGTGCTGAAATCTTCAACCAAATTTGAATATTGTTTTCACATCAGTTTATAATGACTGCAAGGTTTAAGTTAATTGAGAATAAGCCCTTATGCATTTTCAGAGGCAGGAGTTATTCCTAACTGTCCTTGCTTTAGTGGTATTTTGTTTTGATCATTGACATGCTGTTGGAGAGAGAGAAACTGTGGCATGTTAGGCAATAGATGGGCTTATTTCCTTCAACAGTGTAAAACCACACTTGTCCCTAAGTTACATGGTGGGGAAAGAGGAAAGCAGAAGAGAAATGCTTGAGTTTGGAGTCAGTGTAGAGAAAGGAATTCTCTAGCAAGGCACCTGTACTGAATGCAGACTACAACAGTAGCATATAGTTTAAGAAGAGATAACTCTCTCTTTCTGGAAGAGTATAGAGCTTCCACAGTAGTTCATATTCATTTGGCCTCTCTGGAAATGACGTGATAACCAAGTTCTTTGCACACTGGGTTTAAAGAAAACAGTTTTGAACCGTGGTTTGAATATTGTGGTGAACCACAGGCGCTGCGGATGGTCAAAGAACAGCATTTGGGGCTATTGTCATTGCAAACAGCTTTATGTTAAAAACTGAGAATGTGGTGAAGTTACCTTGTGTTAGCTGAACCACAGTACCTGCATGTACACATTCTTAGTCTGATTTTGTGAAAGCACTAAGCACTTCTGGCTTGAATTCTAATTTCTATCTTGTCTTCTGTTCACATTGGACTGAGAGTATGCAGGGTTAATTACGTTTCCACTTAGCAGAAGTTATAACCTTTTATGCTGGGGCAGCCTGTTCAGATACTAGAGCCCTTCGTGTCACAAAAAGGTAGCGTAAGGAGAGCTGTATAAGGAGGTATAGCATCCTTTATTAGATCACTCTATGTAGTTTGGGGATATAATTGGGTCTTCAGTAGTGAGCCAAGACAATTCCTTTTATCCAGTGGCAGTGCCTTATGAACTCCAGTTACTTCTTGGTTCCACACCTCATGGCCATTCTGCTGGAGAGAAATGAATACACTGCAAAGCCTGTTACTTGAGAGCTGTTGCACAGAACTGGTGATTATGTCATCAACAAGTTTGAGGAGCAGTGGGGGTGCTGATGGAATACTCAGAACTATCCATACCATCTTTTTATGGTTAGTCTTTTTGAATGGCACCCGCTCTGTAAAAGAAGGTTGACTCCCTTTGGGACTTTCCTGCAAGACATCTTTTCTGGTTTTGAGCTTTGACTGAAGAAGTCACATCAGAAAACAAACTTAATGAAAACATCTAGGTGAAAATAATTGGGTGTCATATTTTCCTGTGGGGGAGGGAGAGGTGTTTCTAAGTGGCTATAAAAGTATAAATACCATCTGTATGCTTTATGCTTATTTTTTCTGGTTTTAAGAATAACTTTTGGATTATGTTTCAACACACACTGTGTACCCAGACAGTAATTCTTATTCTTGGACCTACATAGTTCCTCCATACTATGTTTGTATTACAAGTGAAAGACAGCCTGTATTCAGGCCTTTATAACCATTTTCATCCTTTTACTTAGTACTTTACTTACTGTCCTGGGTATCAGAGGATTGCTTAGTGCTAAGGTGGGCTATATAGGATGAGGTGATTTTCTTGAAAGAGTTGTATCAGCTCTGTGGACTTCTGATGAGACTGTGAATGAACTGGCCTGATGTTGGCAGTGTGAGGTCCTTTAGAAGTAGATGACAAATCACATAAGCCTTGAAGGCAGAGCACTTCATAACCTGGACAAAAAAATGCATCTCTGGCCCCTCCCTTAGCTGAATGAGTGAAGAAGGCAAAGGTCCCTGCAGTTTGCTAGAGGTCAGTTTCTCTCTCCGTGCCTGTGTGACCCTCTTTGCCCATGTCTTTGCCATGCTTTGAATGGCATGTTGGACACACGGTCTCTGGGGCTGTGGTGGACGTTTCCAAGTTATGTGTTCAGTTGGCCCCACTGTGTGGTGAGTAGGACACATTCAACAGTCCTTCACAAGGGTTTTTCTTGTACTCACAGACCTTTAAGCCCGCTTTGAGATTTTAGTGAAATGGGGCAATATGATTTTAGGTGACAGCTTTTCCGTGTGGTGCAGATGGCTCCTAAGAGAGCTTAGCTTATGGATTACTTCCTTTTCCTTAAATACTAAAAGATTTTATGGCACAAATCCTTTGGATACCGGGAAGGTTTCAGGTAGATTCGAGTTCCTGTATGCAGGGAATAAGCAAAAGCAAGGGTATCAATAACCGTACAGGAATACATTTCATCTCCTTTCCATGTTTGATCTCATTCCACACATCAGTGGCTTGACATTTTCTTTATAGGTAGACATCACATCATGGTCTTTTAGAGTTTATTGTCATGAAAAATTGTGTGTAAAAGCCCTGAATGGTTCTTAGACATCTGAGAGTGTTAAAGCTTCAATTTTTCACTTATTTTTCAGAATTCTAGTGCATGAAGGACGTAAATGATAATCCCGGAGGACCATCTGGCCTGGAGCAGACATTGGAACCAAGCTACGATGTGACTGAAAGAACTGAGTGCAAGTCAGATGGTAAGTAAGACAGGGAAGTTGAGATATATCATACTGTACCTTCAGTACAGATGAAAAAATACACCCATACACTTTTTCAGAACTTGTCCTAATTTTCTTGGAGAAAGAAAGGAACAAGAAAAAAAAAGAAAAATTCCTTGCAGGTTTTAAATGTTTTTCAGTGCCCAGTTAGCGTGGAATGTCATTTCCGCTAGATCTTTTCATAGTGGAGTATATATTTTAATTTAGCTGTGGTTCTCATGTCATTCAAAGGGTCCATTTTACCTCCATTGCCTACTTGATGTCTAGGAAATTCTTTATGGCTCAGATTTCTAAGGAAGCCTAGAGGATTGAGCCTTTGTCTCCTGAAAGCTCCTTAGAACGTCCTTTTAAATCCAGTCCATGGTTGTCTCAAACACTTTTTTAAAATTTATTTATTTGTGGTAAGCACTAAGTAAATCAGTTTTGTTTAATCATCAAGGAAGTGGGTGTTTCCAATTCTGGACTTTTTTCTAAACATATTCTGTCTCTTACAGGAAAGTGTTTCCTGTCTGCACAGTGAGAGCTCTTAGAGCAACTGGGCTTTGTACTTTGAATCATGCATCCAGTGTGGATAAACCTTTTCTCTTTTTATTGGCTAGTAGATTTATTTACTGGTTAGTTAGTGGTGCCCTGGACTAGCCTTTCATACCATCTTGCAGACTGTTGCAGTTTGTAGTTGTTTTTATGGTAGAGAAGCCTGTTCAACTAGATGTGAGTGGGCCTTTGGTAGCAACTCCACACCGTGAAGGAGGCCTAGTTTATGAAAAGAGGATGCTAAAAATCTTTATTAGGATATGTTTGGAGGGAAAAAAATGCTCTGTATGCAAATAAGCTATAAGGTGAATGGGTTCATTCCACATGCTGTGTGCTTTACTTCTTAAAAACCCTTTCTGAGCTGTGATCTTTTATTATTTGTATAAGAATCCTGAAAAGCTTCAGGTAACCTACAGATATTTCTCCTGAAAATTCACATTCTCTTTACAAATTAGCTTTGGCCAAGTAACAGTCAATGCTTGCCATTCGTTTGATGGCAGAAAGGATGCACTTGCTTTTCTATGAGCTAAGAGAGTTATGTTAATGTTTTACACTTTTTGGTGTTCTTAGCATCCTTGCCCAGACCCCTTGAGGCCACTGTAAATCCTAGGCCATAAAACATCAGTGTTATTTAAGTTTTTACTGAGGTGGTGTGTAAGTGTGCCAAATAATTGGAAGCTTCATTATTGTGGAACATGTACAAATATACAGTAAATGACAAACACGCACTTCTTGCCTCACAGCACTTATCCTTGATAGTCTGACAGAAGTAAAAACATGGTGTTGTGTATTGCCTGACCCTTGCAGTCATAGGCTATATTAATTTCAAAGCAAGATGTAAACACAGTTCTGCTGGTTATACAAAACAATGAATTCAGAAATCACTTTGCAGAGTTTATCAAATTTATCCCTACACTGAAATTTTTAACAGAGTTAAAAGTATGCAGTTCAACCATAAGTGAATTTGTTCCACTAATATAGGAAGCACTCACAGGTCCTGTTTTTTAACTGGATAGTTAAGAAAAAGTAATTTATGTGTTATAAATCCAATATATGATCCTTATGGATAATGAGGATATTCAGAGGTCTTTCTTGTTTCACTTTCTATGAACCATGTGTTCATGCACAGAGCCTGCAGGTTGCTCATGGAAAGGATCTTTAATCCAGCAGTGATACTGGCTTATTCTTTATGTGTGGGCAATACAAAGGGAAGTTTTTCAAACAGTTTTGTTTTTATTGCAGAAGAAGGCGTGGGTAGTTCTGCCTTGCAGAATAGCTTAGCCTGGAACAACCCTTATGTGGGAGGGCAGAAAGAAAAGATCGACAATCATTTATCATGTGACACTGAAGTGGAATAGTTCCAACGAAAAGACTTGTGCTCAAACTTTCCAGCCTGAATGTGAGCTGAAGGTCATGCACTTGCCTTCTTGTTTATGTGATAACACCAGCATGGAAGCATCATAGGTGAAGTGCCGTGTGTGTAGGCTGCCCCGGCGAGTGTCCTTGCTGAAAATGTACCCTGTAAAGCTCTCCGTCTGAGGTGGCTAAACAGACTGGTTTTGGCAAAGATGCTTAGAAAGTATCCCTGACATTAATTTGAGGGAATGCTCAGGTGTATAAAATGCAAATTTATGTCTTTAAAGTTGATGAAAGATGGTCTAATAAACGTTTGAAGTAGAAGTTGTTGTCCAGGCATTGTTGTAGGACTGTAGACTGCCCCTTGTTTCAAATTTGACTAAGAAAACGGTATCATTCCGTTCAGCTGACACAAACACTAATAAACTTCAGTATTTCATAAAATGCTATATAGAATGTGGCCAGAAGTTTTTCTGTAGTTCCTAAATTGAGTAATCAATAAAACTCGTACAAAGAAAATATTGTTGTTTTCATGCCAGGGCATGGGAGCTAATGAGAAGGTTTTAAGGTGTGGCTTGATTACAGTAGGTTGGAGGGCAACTTGGGCAACTTCAAATTCTGAAAGAAACCTTGAAAAACTGTTAAAATATGTTTATAGCAGCCAACAAGTAGGGATGGTGAAACCATAAAATGATTTACTAGATTGGAAAACAGTCATTTTAAGTAACTGGAAGATTATTTCACAGATCTGTTTTATGTTCACATGTTCACATCCAACATGGTGTATGAAGCAAAAAGCATGCAGAGTGAAATTAAAACTAGATGGTGTTCCTGGAGGATTGAAAAGTTTTGCTGTAGCTGCACAACATAGTGATGAGCTGCTCTTGTGCGGGTGGAAAACAGGATACAGATAAAAGAGGTCACATGAGTCTGTGGGGATGAGGAAAATTAACATGCTATTTTTGAAGGAGTGTGCACTCACGCTGACATTTTGAAGCAAAATTCTTTCAGTTAAAACTTTATTAGAGCACGTTTATTCTGCAGTGTGTATGCAAAACACTATAGAAAATAAAACTGGTGCAAATCTGTTTGTCTCTTAACAGCATTTAAGAATCAGAGAGGAAGAGGATGTGGCAGTTTGCAGTGCCAAGGTACACTGTACTATAGTGTACAGCTGTGCATTTACAGGGACCTGATTTCAAACAAAAGAGTTAAATTAAAAATCAGTCTATTCTTTTTGACAGGTATCTATTTGCTAAATTATCACATGCCACTTTTAGGTCTATGGTACAGTTTCTTTCAGTATTATCATATATTAATGAAGTGCTGAATAAGTTCTTTTTTATTTTGGTTAATTCTTGTACTTGATCCTTTCTCAAGCTGGATGGGTGGCAAATGACTTGACTTGATGCTGCATAAAATGGTTATCTTGCTTCACACTAAGTAGAAGATATAATTTTGATAAACATGCACTTGTAATTTAAAGACTTGAAGCTGTTGATGCTGTCCCCTGATGTATGTTTAATCCTCTGCCAGCTCCATTAGTCCAGCATAGCAGTTTTAAGAGAACTGATTATTTGCTTTCCGCTGAAGTTCCAATAAAAGTTGGAATTTTTGGTCACCTTTCAGGCATCCTGCATGAAAAGACAACAGAATCCATTTGCTGATATGTCCTGGGTCTCTGTTTTACTAAGTACCTTTCTAGGTCACCATGCAGAGATTACCATTCATCATATCACTGTAAACTAGAAAACAGTGAATCCAGCAGGTCTCTACCAATGCTGACAGCTTAATACTGATTAGTATTGTCAAATTATAAACTGCTACAGAGATTTACCTGGAATTTCAAAAATACTAGCATGCCGCATCAACTGGATTAGACCATGCAGGTTTCTGAGGGCAGCAGTTTGTAGTGGTGTGATGTGAAGTGGTATGTGGTGTCTCCAATCTAACAGCCCAAGTAAAAGATATACTCAGGCTGATTTATCACAGTGTTTTGGTGCAAAGCTCCAGCTTGTGATTTGGGTTTGCCCTGCACAGTTACTCTAACCACTGTGCTGCTGCTTCTCCAGCAGCTGTATTTCCTTGCACTCCAAAAGGATGTACATCTGTTTTGCTCCAGGTGCATTCCCTCCTGCCTCTTTCTTTCCCAGATAAGCACTGCATTTTGAGTAGCAGTGACAGAATGATTTGGGGTTTTTTTCCAAATTGATAAGATGAAGCTGCCTCTTGTTTGTTTGAGTCAGTACTCTGCTTGCAATGATAAAATAACCACCTGAAGTGGAATGCACCTGAGTTTGGCCTCACATTCATATTCATTTGATTGCACTAATTATTTGTTTTGGTTTCAGTCTTTGAACGTTAAGACAAGAGTGTTACTTGAAAAGTTTAAAGATTTATGGACAATCATGAGCATATACTGACATCGGGGCATACCTAATAAGGTATGATTTAGGAGTCCTAGCAGAAGTGGGCAGCTGTAGATAACAGAGTCTGGTTTTTTTACAGTTTCTGTCAGTCCCTAAGAAGATTGGGGTCCTGAGTCCAAGGTAAAAGTACATTCTACTGTGTCTCTGCTATTACACAGGGAGCAAAATAGTATTTCTGGGCTGTCACTCTCCTCCAAGGATTATTCAGGACTCTTCTGTCAGTCTTCCTTTCACCATTCATATTAGGACAGTTTGCTCTGCTCTTACCTCTCTGTATAGCTCCTGCCTTTTAAGCTTGATCTTCAGGAATAGGGACTGTGGCAGAAGACAGATCTAATCACATGCTCTTTGTTAGAGTGAGGTCTGGAGGGCATCACCTTTGTCTTTCTATTTGGTTTCTGGTGAAGGAAATATAGGCATAGGGACTTGAGGAGAGCAACAACAAGCTCAGGTACAGCCCTGCTCCAGATGGTCATAGGGGTGGAGAACTGTGGTTGCAGTTTGTTCCTGCTGTGCAGTCAGATGGAGCTGTGCAGTTAGATGGGGCAGCCTGTGCACGTGCACCGTGACAAAAAACAGGTGGGGCATTGTCACGGTTTGTGGGGGTCAGGGGAAACCCAGACCAGCAGGTTCTTTCAGCTGAGTTGTAGTTTTTCCCTG